TTTTTTTTTTTTTTAAGTTTTGTTTTATGTTATAATCTCTTAAGATATTATTACAGAGTATAGCCATCTATGGAGGTTAGATATCAGAACAATAGCTATATCTGCCGTTTCTGTGGTAAAACAGAATATATTATATTTCTATGGGTTGGTTACAGTGTTTTTATTGTGGAATATAGATTTCATACAAATATTATTATTATTATCGCTTTAAAAACGCGTTTAGACGAATAAGGTACATCTTATGATGACGATTATTTAAGATAAACAATTTTAGACACCACTCTTATATTATCTTAGCAACTATGGTAGCACCCTCCCTCGGTTTGTATGCTGCTTTAATTGTCAATCTTGTAAACGTACCCACAGACAAGGAATTGCTCTTTAATATATGCACATTTTTAAAAATATTGTTCTTTAAGTAAGTTATAGTATATAAAAACATTCGCATTATAAAATGATGCAAAAACATTGAAATCAAAATAAGATCTGAAGTTGAGATAATTGCATTCTTCCATACATCATAAGTTAAACTTTATACATACAAATTATTTTACTTACTGAATCGCAAAATATGAAAATTCTTCGTCTTCCGATAAGGCTTATTGAATCTGCTGAAATAAGCGTAAATTACATCAGTGGACTATTTATCACTTCTTCTGGAGATCCTTATTTGGAAGACATCCGTTTTAATTCTTCTTGGAAAAAAAACAGGTTCCTCGCTTCTACTTAATTTGAACTATTAATCAACTTTGATAACAGCTGAAGTGGCTGTAATAGACATTTATCACTGTAATAGACATTTATTTATCACTGCCTCTAGAATTCCAAATATGGAATACACCCATTTTAATCCTACTTAGAAAGAACAGGTTCCTTCTACTTAGTTTGAATTGTCAATCAATTTTGATAAAAACCCTTACGGCTATGGCAACAAGGTGGGGTTAACATATATTAATGAAAATCGGTATGAATTTGCGTCCAAAGGAGTTTTGAACCTCTGTGAAGTAAAATGGAAAATAGAAAAATGGGACGTACAATATTTGCACTGGTCTTGTCCAGGGTTGACCAGTTTCCCTCTCCTTAAACACATATACATGAGAATTTTTTTAATGATAAAATACTTAATATTAGTGTATATTTTTGATTAGGGCAAATATTTACATCACAATCAGGCTATATTTTAAATAATTTCATCAGCCCCAGTAAATCAATGCCCATTTTTCTCACCCCGCCTCCCAAAGCGCTTTGAGACCCTACCCTCACAAAAACGTAAGCTCATCTGACACGACAGGGAGTAGACTCATGAAGCTTACCATGAATATCGACAAGGAATAGTTCTATCGATAAAAGTAATTAAAATTACTTCACTCTTTTTGAGTTGGGAGATATGTGCCATAGGAAAGGAGTTTTTTGGTCTACTTTTTACCAGTAAAAACGCAAAAAAAAAGAAACATGGGAACATGTGTTGCAGCCATTTTGACGTGTAATGAAACCACAAAAATGAAGAAAGAAATTATCAAGCCAGTCACAAAATACTAATTATAGGGTGAAACTGAGGTTGATAAATTATGTATAACAAGCAGGTAACTCCCCGGGTTTTTATCCCACCTCTCTCGTACATGTAAAGTGAAGTAAAACATTTCGCAAAGCAGGGAAACAAAATGTATTGCTTAAAATTAGAGAATTAGAGTCTGCTTGAAAACTTGCTGGACAGACGATACAGAATTTTTCATCGGACCAAGACGAACTTTGTCAGGCATATCCGACGGTCCAACGCCTTTCTTAAATGAATATCCCTGATGCAACCGAAGGAATAGTACATATTATACAACGAGGCCACAACGAGGCAGTTGGTTTCTCCCTGTGCACTGCCAAACCTGCCAATAGCTTTCTTCTGGAAATTGACACTCTCCTACACTGAAGACTTTCCAACACTGAATGTGGCCTTCTTCTGAAAATATGAAGTAGTTGAAAGCAGTGATACCAGGCCTAGTGATCTTTCGGATTGCCTGGACACCTTTCCTTATTTCCACAACAGCTGCATGGCAGTCTCTGATCTCTCTAGATAAAGACAAAGATGTGTGCATGTCAATGGCTGAAATAACATGATGTTGTTCATTAACATTACGAGACATTTAGGATTTTTTCGTTCACATTTGCCCTTGCCTGCTTGTGCCTTGCTGAAGTCATACTGCCGAACAAGGACGCCGGTCTGTTCAGATAAATCAGGCATGGGCTTAATAGTAGGTGCACAGTGGTAGCACCCAACATCCTCTGAACGAATGAATATTTCCCTAAGGCCATCCACTTTTGTTTTCAGCTGGCAGACAGATTTCTGTAGCAGGGATATAGCTGCAAACCAGTTCTAAGTGGCTTTCTCCACCAGGTACAAAATGCAGTGGATCTGAAAAACAAGACAATGAAAATGCAATTTTATAAATATACCCTTGCTTATTAATTTCTGGAAACTATGAAATTTATCCAGAAGAAAGGCTTTCTTATTAGCATAGTCCTAGCTTCATAGCAGTGACAAAGTGCACATCTTTTTCGAGCCAACTATTACAACAAACACTTTGATTGGCATATACAAATAGTTTTCAAGGAGAAAACCACTGTACCATATTACAAGCCAAAATAAGGTGTTTTGTCAAAAATTTAATTTACCACATAAAAATGACGAATCTAAGGCAAAGGCATGACACGTATATCTCATTTATTTCATAACCTTTTTATTTACCGGTACATGACCCTCTTGGGACGTACACACCTTGAAAATCTAGACACCAATCACTTGGTTAGTACAGGTCTTTCCTTCCCGTTTGTGTAATGGGTGCTGGCACTCTCTGGATTGAGTTTATTTCTTCCTTAATCGAAATCTGTGATCAGAGATATATCGTTAAACTCAGTAGCTCACTCTCGAAGCCTTTGAAGAATGGGCTCCCTGTCATCCCTAGCTTGATCTCGGAAGCTAAGCACATCCATACTTCATAAATGATTCTTACCGTATCTGGTGCAACTCAAACAAAATACAACTTGCGTGATATTTGTAGGCAGGATTAAGTCCGCACGCTATCTTTTCTGCGCCTCGTTCCTGTGTAGATTGTGAGGAAGAAACAAAAATTTCGATCTATTTTTTTTTTTTTTTTTTTTTTTTTTTTTTTTTTTTTTCTTCAAGCCAATTATAACGACGGCAATAATTCGGAAAACTATGTAGAATATTGTCAATTATATTGATATAAACAAAAAAAGTACAATTAATGAAAATCAGGCGCATTTTCACAGCACCATGGAAATGAACCACCGCATAACTCACCGCTCATACCCCTCATTCCAGACGTGCATCCCAACGTATTCTAAGCAAAGTATTTTTTGCATAATTACAAAGCTCAAGTCCTTAAAGTTTCAAAAATCCCCTTATTTATCTGTGTTAGGTGAAATTTCCTAATCGATTAGTGCTATATTTAGACCTTGGTTTTGTCCCTTCTATTTAATGGGCCAAGTTCGTTACTATGGCAGCGTGATTGACAATTAATTACATATCTTCCGAATGGTCTTGATATGGATGCTTATAAAAAAGAAGATTTCACGCTGAAATGAATCATGGAATTTATAAACTGACTTCTACTACTTTTGTTACGACATTTTTTAGTCAGGACCTAATATCTATTTTTTCAAAACAAATCAGAATTTTTAATTGTGCTTTCGACAAAATTATCAGACAGAAAATTTTGATTGAATCCGCCAATCCCAACCTTAATTGCCACATTTTGGCCGTTTTGGTTGATTTTCTAGTGGAAGTGCATTGACCAATTAGAGTAGATTCATATGAAGCCTCAGTTATCAACACATCTGCACACAAAGCATTACTGAAGAAGAGCCAAGGACAGATTGTGGCATTTATTGCGCAATCATGGCTTATTTTATTAACTGAGATTTCAAAAGCTCACTCACTATTCATTTATGCATTGTCAGTGTTTGTGGCTTACACTTAATGATGTGTTAACCATTTCATTACACGGAGTCTATCCTGGATATTTCCCTAATGAAAACATTCAGACATTCCATTTGGTTAAGATGTCTTCGAATCAGCTCTTTAACTTGCATCACAGGAGTCTTCTGCCAAATAAACTGCTTTGATGTCCTCCATTGAGCGTCGTTTATATTTATTGCTCTAATGGATTTTAAAACCACTTTATACCTTTATCATTTTACCACGTGTCTCTGAGAAATTTCCCTTAACATTTTTTTCTTTTTCTTTGTCAATAATAATAATAATAATAATAATAATAATAATAATAATAATAACAGTTATTACTTTTATCATTATAACTATGCAAAAAAGGGTCCTGATTTTCTTAAAACAAAATGTATGACTATGTTTGTCTAATTAAGTTTAGTTTAAAACACTTCAATTTTGCTTCAATTATGCTTCAATTAAAGGTTTCAATTACGTCCCTAAAAATGTGTTCGAATGTGTTTCTTGTTATTCTTGAAAAAATTGTAAAAGAATCACTGAGAAACATCCGGAGGAATCTATAATAAATATGACACAAAACAAGTATTAAAAGAAATTGTCTTAAGGGGTCTAGGATATTAAAAATACGTCTAAAACTCGATTTTTAGTTTTTTATACGTTAGAAATAATCAATTTTGTATCTAATACTCAATTAAGTTATATTTGTGAAACACGGACTAAAAATATACATTTGGACGAGTTTTTCTACCTGTCCTGACTGGTACGGGTGGCAGGCTTTAGGCTCCGCCTCCGTTGTCAAGCACCGTTACTATGGGGGGCGGGGCAAGAATGGTTGTCTAACTTCTTAAGCTGTTACGCGTGCCCTGGCAGCTCATAAGTCTTACGTCAGCTAAGCAGAACACAGTTATATAAACAGTCATGGGAAGAAAGAAAGTCGTGAGAAAACGGATGAGCGAGGAAAACAAGAGAATTTTGAAAGAGAGTGTACGATATATTAAATTTTCTACTAT